TGAGCTTTTCGACTATTTAACCGTTTTTCTCTATTCTCTACCCTCTGAATGGAGCATAGAAATCCAGGCTTTAGATTTTCAGTAGCCTTGATGTTGGGTTTTTTTAAAAAGTTTGCGTTACGCAAACGTAAATTAAGCCAGCCTCGATGGAGAATCAAATCCGAACTACTCGCGTGTCTGCAATCATCCCTATTATCCATCTCACAGAAAGATTCATATGTCTTAGAAAATTCCCCTCACCGATATGTCAACCTGAGACCTAGCACTTCGGTCCAATCAGTCGCCGGGAAAATCTCAAATTCAATTAAATAATTAATATGACCTGTTGCACAAGAGCAAGAGGTGGCTCTCGTGGCCCAAGTGGTATACTGGATAACGCTTCGCCGTTTGAAACTATGGGCACTGTGTTCGAGCCTCGGTGGGAACATCATCACTGACTGACTGGGGAATTCAGGTTCATCCAGTTGGCGGACGAGTCCCAAATAGGACGAAATGTGTGTTATTCTGGATTCCATCACTGCTAGTCACCATCCACCAAACAAAATTTTAATTTCCCTCACCCAAGATTTCAATGTATTGATGACACGATATAAAGACAGACAACTGAATGGAATCAGGTTTGTCATTTTGCAAATTGAACACAGTTCGATGTAAGAATTCACCACAGTTTCCCTTTGAAGGCCGAAAATATCCTGATCATACTGTGTGACCTATTTGCCACCATAAATGGTAACGAAGAAAGGAAGTAGATTGGCACGATGCTTTATACTCCTGGTTGAAATGAGTAGTGAGAAATTAATTAATTCAAGCAGTGGTGCTTGTTAGCCAGCTAGAAGTACTGTAGACACCAGAGAGCCGTCTTCCTCCTTTGGTTTGCACAAATTGAACTCGTTTAATGACGTGCCCACTTTATGTTCCTGTATACATAGTTGTTAACCGTGAAGCAATTTAGGAACTACTTCAACACTATGGCGTGCATTGCCCAAGTCTTTATCAACCTTATTCAACAGATGGCGGGTGATCCACAACGGATAACTCAGTGAGGCGTTTGAAGTGAATACAGGCGTAAGACAAGGGTGGCTGGCTGGCTGGCTATTATCACCGATGATGTTCCTAACTGTGGTGTACTGGATTATGCATCAGAGTGTTGGCAGTGAGAAGACACGAATACGTTGGACAGGTGAACAGACTCTAAAAGATCTGGACCTCTTCGATGATTTACGTCTGATGCAACACAGACTAAAAGACTTGCAGGCGTGAACCGACAAACTAGCTTAAGAAGAAGTGAAGACAGGACTTCAGGTGTACACAGAGAAGATGGAGGGTATGTAGATAACCAACAGCAACAGCGACCAACACCAACTCACTGTCAACGGAAGGAATTTGAAGGATGTCAGTTCTCTCAGTTGTATAGATGACATCGGAATGGATGGTGATATAAAAACCAGAAACGGAAACGTAGGTTACAACTTCATCATCCTTAAATCAGTTTGGAAATCTTCTGTACTCAGAATAAAGAACAAAATTCAGAATTTTTACTCCACTGTTACGTTAGTTCTTCTCTTTGATTCAGAAAGTTGCACTGTAGGTCACAAGAATCATCTCGAACAAGCTACTATTGACTTCTATTCACATCTGCCTTCTCTGGCTTCATATTGAAGATCAAATTGCTGACCAGAAAGATTTAATGGCAAGAAATGCTGGCAACAAAGCAACCGAGAACCAGTTACTCAGCAAATATGCAGGAGAAAATGGAGATGGATTGGAAACACGCTGAGGAGACCGTCGCTCACCAGGCCAAGGCTAAAATGGAACCCGAATTGGAAAAACGAGTGAGGCGTCTGAGGGTGACATGGAGATCGTGTGAGGAGGAGATGACGGACTGTGCGAAGTTGTTGGGCCAGCTAAAGAGAAGTTCAGAGAGTATGGTGGAATGTTCCACTCTGTTCCACTCGAAACCCCAAGGGAACGATAATTATACAATAAAGCATGGCGAGATAAAGTTTACTTGATGACTAGATGATATATTGATTTTTAAACTTCCGCATTACACATTCTGTCTTATAATCATTGATTCTGAGCTCCTTCATATTGTATAGATAAATATATAGAGTTTTGGAGGGTTTTTGAGAAGCTCAGATTCCTCTGGATGTCTCTGAGACGTTCTTGGACACCGCTTCTCTAAAAGCATTCAGCCTATTTGAAGACTGCAGAGGTCAAAAGTATTCAAAATGTATATGGGGTTTATGTTCCTTTATTACACGGCTGAGCCTTAGTTTTGATTGAATCGGGTTACAGTATAACTTGGCTATGTAAAAGAAGTTTCTCTGTCTTTCTCTATCTCTCTCTCCCTTTCTCTGCTTCAAGGTCACTTACGTTTTAGTTGAAATTCCTCCTCACTATCTGTCATTTGAACACTTAGACTAAAGATATCATTTCCATCGGAAATAAACGATTAATAATCCTCTGTAACGAAGATAATCTCATTGGACGACCTGCTCAATGGCGTATGCCTGATCCGTCTCCATTTTCTTCTACATATTTAGATAAAGCAATAAGACGTAATTTGTCTGAATCGTGTAATGTATTTGCGCGCACAACACATTTCTAACAATCTGATCACACACGGACTTGTCATAGGAATATATATGAAATTAATAAAGAGGTAAGAGATGAGAAAATAGACTTAGGTCAAGTTTAAAGGACATATTCAAGGTCAAAGCAACAATGAAGACCACTAAACCAAATAACAGAGGTGATAGTACATCTGCCCTGGCTGGTATCAAAACAAAATTTACCAAGGAAGGTTTAATGTGATGACAAATTGTTTTTGAATGCATAAAGGTGGCTTAAACTTTCTAATTGCTAGGGCTTGCACAAACTTTAGGATACGCCCCAAACACGTTTTGTAAATAGGTTTAAAAGATCTGTTAACGTCAATTTTATGTCCTGTTTCTATAATATGTTTTGCAATAGAGGAGCTAGGTCTCCTATTCTCACCGTTAATGGGTTCTGAAGATTCAATTTGTTTCTGGAGCCATTTAGGAATATGATCTGAAGCCAGCTCTTACTTGCAGAGATCGGTGAGTCCTCCCTATATATGTGTGTCCACACGTACATTCAAATTGGTAAATACAATGGGATGTGATACCATTTTTCGCATGTTCAAAGGGCTTAGATGGATGGATATATTGGCTTCACATTCTCAATTATTATGATATTAGTTGCATAAAAAGTCTTTTAAACAGCAGCTTTCAATCTTTGTCCAGTTATCAAGCTGCTATGATGCCCCATATAGGGTAGCTTGATGTACACGTCTTTCTTAGGGGAGAGTTGGAGACGTGTACATCAAGCTACCCTATATGGGGCATCATAGCAGCTTGATAACTGGACAAAGATTGAACGCTGCTGTTGAAAAGACCTTTCACGCAGCTAATATCATAATAATAGAGAATGTAAAGCTAATATATCTATCTAAGCTCTTCGGACATGCGAAACATGATGTCAGATCCCACTGTATTTACCAATTTGAATGTACGTGTGGACATACATACAGAGGACGGAGGACTCATCGATCTGTTTAAGTGAAGGTTTCAGAAGCAGATAGAATCCTCAGAACCCATTAATGGTGAGAATAGGCAACTTAACTCCTCCATTGTGAAACATATTATAGAGACAGGACATAAAATTGACGTTAGCAGATCTTTTAAACCTATCTATAAAATGTGCTTGGGGGTGTGGAAGTCCTAGCAGTTAGGAAGTTTAAACCACCTATATGCATTCAAAGCAACAATTCGTCATCACGCTAAATCTTCCTTGGTAAACTTTTTTTGATACCAGGATGGTAGATGTACTATTACCTCTCTTAATTGGTTTAGTGGTCTTGCATTTCCGATTCTGACTGTCTGACTTTGACATCTTCATTCGTTCCACTGTCCTGTGGTTAAAACGATGCTTCCTAGCCAGGTAACTGAACGAAGTAACCTTTTTCAAATCTCTCCTGTTGATGGCGAATGGTACTGGTTATTGTTGTTGCTGTAGCTGCACGTTGCTACGCGCGTATCTTCACCACCTTCGTCTTCTCTATGTTCACCCGGATTATATTTCTACAAATTCATAACTTGATCTATGTCTTCCTAATCGCTACTGATTTTCAATGAAATTTTCCATATCTGTAGCATAGTCGTTGTGTCATTTCGATAATACATATTCGGTGTTAATTCGGTAGATAAAAAATTCAGTTTCCAACCTCTCCCTCTGCATAGATGTTACCCTATCCCACCAAATTATGTGATCACACTCAAGTGAATGAACTGTAATAGTCGAGCTTTTTTCTGGGTTACATAACTTTGTGTGTGAGATTTCCTTCTTATCGGTCAACATTCTTGGTGTTTCTTCTTTCTAATATCTGGACTTTGGTTGTCCTAGTTGAAGAGACAGAGGTCACCAGGAGAGACGATTAATATACACGTGGAGAAATCTGAAAGCTCACTTCAACAGATTGAAATACGCACTGAATATGTTGCCTAGTGAGTAGGGCAATGAAATCTTCCCAAATAAACCATCCAGCTAGCTCAGAGAACACGACTAACATTTAAATTATCCACCTGTGCTACAAATCTCCATCATATCTAAATTATTTTCCTAAAATTTTCACTGTTAAATGACTCCACATTATCATATGAGTTTTCATCAGGTCAACTTAGTACTGGCGGGTTGTTTAATTATCAATACAAGCCTAAGGTTATGTGGGTAGGATTGTCTATTGGAAGACGGGATAAATCAATAATTACTGTACATTACTCTGTATAACTGAATCTTTGCTTATCGGCACTGAATAGCAGAATGTGTTAGTTCTACATTCGTATAAATTTGTGTCAGTGTGATTCGCATTGTCATCGCTGAACTATTTAGCTGACTTCATCAATCTCTCTCTCTCTTTAGGTGTGTACCACCTAAAGAAAGCTATTTAACGGGTTAAAAAATGATAAAGAGCTTACGGAGACTTTAGTACATTTTGTCGACATTCTATAAATCTCTTCAGTGTTAAGTATATCCAATCGATTTCTTGTCGAGATACCACGATTATAACAACCATATTTGATAAATTCACAATCAGGAAATTGTAATCTCCACAGCTCATAAATTCTAGGCATTATTTGTAAACTGAACTTTGAAGATTGAAATTTCAGTGAGTTAACAACAAAAAGCGATTTTTCATCAAATCCATTTTGTTTATTCAATGTCCAATGTATATTATTAGTTTTATTGCTTTGATTACTGAAATATTCCAGTGTTCTACCAAATAAACGACTTGTATCATAAACATAAATACGTGGATGAAATAAATGTACTCGCCAGCATAATTCAATATCATAGGGAAGATAATTTATGTGTATTTGATTACTACAACTGAGGTAGTTTTCATCACAATTTTTATGGATACTCTTTTGACTACTTGTTAGTAGTAAAAAGGAATTATTAATAATATTTCTGTTACAATGACTGTTTTCAGTAGTAGTTATGCCAGATGAGGTTGATGAAGAAGTTGAAGATGGAGTCTCTGAAATCGTACTTGTGGAATAGTGTTGTTGATTTATCTGACAGTAAAGTTTTCTGATGTATAAATACTTTCGATAGCGTTCACAAGCGTCTTCAAGAAAACTTTTGTTGAGATAATGTGGCATTAGAATCTGAAAAGAAAGGAGAAAATAAGCGGTTAGTTTTCTTTTTAGACATAGTTTACAAGAAACACAGAAGTGACGAACAGGTAATCAAGCCTCACTCTATAGATCTGTAAACTTGGCTAGCTTCCTTAATCTTAAATGTATGGAAATCACTGCACTCAAGAGGAAATAAATATGTCAGCGCCTCATTCAATCGCTTTGAATCGTGTTTATGTGTCTCCCAGATCTTTAGATTGCCTCCAGTATGCCTAACCAGTACCCTTTTTGAAGTAATCTGTGTGTTACGATTTTTTCTTACGTGGACCAGTAAAAGCCGTGAATGAAATGTTGTTTACCTATTGTCATTACAATAGTAACAGTCAGTATCCTGAACCACTGGAATAAGATTCAAGTAGAGTCTTTGAGTCATGACTGCGTTATGGATTTCATTATTACTGCTTAGATTGGGGGTAATTCAGGAGCTTAGTTATCGGATGAACTTTATGTAGTCTGTTGGAAGGTATAAACCTATTTGTTGTTGGCGCGAATTAAAGAAAGTTCAATTAACCGGATGTCGTTGTGGTGATACAGTGTGCATCATGGTTAAGAATGATAACTTTTGCTATTAGATAGATGGAGACAATTGACAACAATCCTTTGACCAAGGTTGCGTGACTGCTGGCACTTACCAGTCAACAAGGCAGGCGTATCTGTAACCTTGAAGGAACTCATATCCCTTCTGAGATTCGAACCCGCGTCACACAGTGTTGCGGTCAGATATGGGCTCGCGATTGACCTCCTGTAGAACTATACTGGATACTTCGATTGGACACTAACTAACTACAACAGTGGGTGATACGGGTTCGAATATTAGAAGGGACTTGAGTTCCTTCAAGGCTGCAGATACGCCTGCCTTGCTGACTGGTGAGTGCCAGCAAGCAAGCAACCTAGGTAGAGAGCTTCCTTTCGATTGCCTCAAACCATCTAATAGGAACACTTTAAAGTGCACCGTATTGGCGAAACACCTAGCATGATGGCCACATTCCTAACTAGGCTGAAATAGTTCAGTCCACACCAAATAAAGAACTAGACTTATGATACTAGTCAGTGTCTAATCAAAGAATCATTACTTTTATTCTGTATTGATTACCTTTCGTTTTTGTCGATCAACCATCAGCTTACCCTCCATGTATTGTGATTCAAACGGTTAGGACTGTTTGGCTAATACAGCTTATCGATAGTAATCAGCTATTGTGCTGGTCTGTCCATAAACAACTTAGAAATATCTCCGATTTATTTTTCTGTTAAATAACGCTCAAGGTTCATTTATTGTGATGCAATTGGAATGTTCATTGAACATGCTCTTTTACTGATGACTTACGTTATTCTAAAGTTCTGGTAAGTAGTCATCTTTACTGAAGCCCTAGTCATTCAGATACTTTGAGCGCCCCACTTAATCATACCTTATTATATGTATTACGTATTATTCCTTTAAGTTCCTAGTGGAACATAAGGGGATTCAAGCTAGAGACTTGAAGTCTCGGTAGAATTTGTGTTCATTTTTACAGGATGGGGTATGCCAGCCACCAGTCTTATTACTGGCGAGGTAAAGGAGTGCGTCGGTTTCCGGAGATCGAACCCCGAAGCACATATGGCCTGGTAAGCGAGCATTCTACCGCTGTGCCGCCGACGCAGTGATTATTAGTGACATAAAGTGTAAATAAAACAACAGAAGATGACACAAAATGTGTACTTTTACTCGAAAAAATATACAGTCATTCACTGCATCTTCTTGCAAAACTATCAAATCACTGGCTTGAAGCCTTTCTTTCTCTAGTAAGCATAAACATCAATAATATGTATATAACGTTTATTCTACCAACCTCTCTTTATCTCCCGCACCATCTGCTCAGGACTATTATAAACATCAGAACTATAAAATAGATCACATTTATGATCAAAACGGGAGAGAAATAAAGATCTGATCGAAAATGTATTTTTGTTTATTTGTTTGTTTGTTAATTGCACTGTTTTTGAAATCTCTCTCTTTTTCACTATTTGTTTATTTTACATTCTATGCGTGTTCAAATAAAATTTTGTTTAAATTTCATTAGGTTCAGTAGGCGCCAAAATTAAAAAGCCGAAAAAAACTTTCACCTTATTGTGACTGACTGAAAACATAATGCCAAAAAAGCGCACAAAATAAATTCTTCTTCGTTCACTAGAAAGCAATATTTGTTGTTATATATTTTATGTATTGAAAAACAAATTTAACTGTGAATTTAAAACATTTAGAAATATTTAATAATCAAATAAATTTCATGAAAGGGATTATTTCTTGTTTATTGATTATATTATTACTAATAATAGTAGTATAATTTTTAGATCTTGGTTATTGTCGACTTCGCTACGAAGTGACATTGATTAAAAAAGTGATGAGTTGTTATAATTGATAGTTTGAACACGGATTGATATCAGTTAGAGAACCATTGAAAACCAGCACTGGAATACCGGGCAGTCGGCTGTTTCGTCAGCCTAGTTTGGGACCCGATTCAGCAGTACGCACCCACTGGGGTTTGAACCCAAGACTTTCTAGTTACAAGGCAAGCTAGCTCAAATACCATTCATCCACTGGGACCCTATCCCTCAATGGCCAGCCAATGAATTCTAACTTCTACCAATTCGTGATGTTTTCAGCGCGACTGACAGCAACCAATATCACCGGCGGGAAATCCATCCTCACTCCCAACTGGATGGAGCTCAATGGTCACGACTTTTCACTGGAACTCCAAGAAACTCCGTCCTGTAGCAAGTCACTAGCGAGTACCAAATTTCAAAGGTTCTCTAGCTCATATCATTACATGGTCAAGCTCGAAAAACAATTGGAATACATCTGAACAAGTCAAATCTGTGTGTGCACATTCAAAAGAAATTTTGCACAGCCCCTTTCTTTGCCATGGCCAACAACATTATATGTATTAATTTTTTAAAAACTAGTTTTTCGCCTTCCCTTATAACTAACTCTCGACTTTCCTATAGTTTGGTTTGTAAGGGTTAGTTATGTTTTACGAGTTGATCACAGATTGATATCAGTTAGAGAACCATTGAAAACCAGCACTGGAGTACTGGATAGCTGCTGTTTCATCCTAGTTTGGGAATCATCGGTAGTACGCACCCACTGGGATTCGCTAGTGACTTGCTACAGGATGGAGTTTCCTAGAGTTCTATTGAGAAGTTGTGACCAGTGAGGTCCAATTAGAAGTCACGTGTGTGGATGGATGTCCCACCAACGACAATAGTTGGGGTCGCGCTAAAATCACGAATTGCTAGAAGTTAGATAGAATTCATGAGCCATTGAATCGGGTCCCAGTGGCTGAATGGTATACGAGCTTGCCTTGTAACCGGAAGGTCCTGGGTTCGAATCCCAGTGGGTGCGTATTTCCGATGATTTTCAAACTGGGATGAAACAGCAGCTGTCCAGTACTCCAGTGCTGGTTTTCAATGGTTCTATAACTGATATCAATCTGTGATCAACTCGTAAAAACTTTCGACTTTGTTAATTTTTACAATTCTAGCTAATTCTATTACCTTGTTTGTTTTTTACGTTACTCTTCTAAGTCATAATTGCTATTTTACAAATTTCTTGATTATGTAATAACTTTCTGCTGACGCCTAAGAATCAAGCTATATTGAATTCCGTAATTAATTTTCACCCCACCCCTTTCAAACTTGGATATCTTGTTACTGACATCTATTAGTTTTTGATGGTGTTTTGATGACCTTTAACCTCTTGATTTTGATGTAAAAAACTATATATTAGTGTAGAGCCGACCAGTGGATGATGAGGAACTAATTGAAAAGGAACGCATATTTCTCCACTCAGTCTGCTTTTTTCTTCTAAATGCGAAAATGGAAATTCAGAAATTACTGATTTCTCCGAAGAACAATTTCGAGTTGAAGATTGACGAAGAACTGCGTAATCTCCGAGGAACCCTGATGGAAAATGAGTTTCCGCCTAGGTTCATAGACAAGAATCTCAAATCAGAGAAGACTTCCGAAAAAGTTCAATCCGTTGCAAAGAAAATACTTCTGCTTAATCCAGAATTCAAAGGTGACACTGAAGTAGAAATCCTTCGTAAATGCCTCTCCAAATCTCTGAGGAAAAAAGTACTTCGCCTCGAGCATACGACTCACGTTTTCCTGCGAGAAACTGTTCAGCCAGAATGCGAAAGACAAGCTGTCGCATTGGGCCACTTCAAAGTGCATATACTAGTTTACTTGCTCTTGTGGAGCTGATTACATCGGCCGTACCATGCGCAAACTTGAAAAACGCGCCCGTGAACACTATCCAACCTGGCTAGTAAAAGGAGATCGAAAACGTGTAAATAGTTCAGTGACAGAACATTTAGTCAATTCAGGACATTCAGCGCGATTCGAAAAATTCTTCAAAATAATACACAAGATTCGATCAAACCTATCGAAGGGAGTAAAATCAAGACACCTGGGCATAGCCGAGGCACTAGCTATCCAAAAGCTAAAATCCACGCTATGCATCCAGAAGAAATACGTCCAACCCCTGTTCCTGCCATGGCCATCATAAACAGGTAAGTCTTTTAGTATTGATCATCCCATTGCATTTCTTATCCAAACTTCCTGTTTATTTTGTCATTTTATTATTTCTACATATTTAATCCCTGATTGCATAAACAATTATTCGTCACATTTTTTACGATCCCACTAGATTTTCCTATCCAAACATCCTGTCTATTTTTGTTGTTTCTACATTCCTAGCCCCCAATTGCACAATATGTCAATATTCTCAGTAATTATGATGCTACTTTGTTTGAGTTTTATCCGCCCTTCCCCTATTGACTATGGTATTTTAATTCCCAATTGTAATTTTTTTAATTTGACCCTTGATCGGAAATTATTCTGGAACTTTCCCATCCATTTGTTATAAATACACACGAATGTACAGCCTAGTTGATGTTGACTTCGTCGAAAAGAAAATTTTCTTCGCTGCAACC